ATATTTTTTTATAAATACATTCATCATTAAATAAATGAAATGAATCGATCAAATATAAATAATCGGTCATTATCATAAATTTTATTTATCATTCTGAGAATAACAAACATTTTACAAAATGGATTAGCTGATGATGAAAAGTAAAACTTAAATTAATATGAAGAAAAGAAAATAGCTGTTGACAGATTAATTGATAATAATTAGCTATTTAATTAATTGATAATGTTATAATAATTAATATAAGATTCAGATGTATTGAAGTGACATTTGAATTGAAATTCAAGTGAAATTGTAAATTTGAAATTTTTGTCATTCAAAAGCCAGTTTTATTTCTAATATATTTCAGCCGTATGTTTGATGATAAATTTTTGCAGGTAAAAAGGGTAAAATGTGTAATTAATTAACAAACATTTACCTGCTTAGAATGATTATTTCTGGTATTCCATTAAATTGTTAATTAATTAGCTTCCTTTTAATTTCCATCTATTAATAGTATCAATTTTTGCTTTCGTTACTTCATTCTTTCCTTTTTTTTTTTTGCACAAAGTGAATACTTTGTTTCTGGGAAAAAATGTCAGAAATAAAATTTTAATTTACAATTTAACAACACTTTGTGCATATTATTAATTTATTCATTGGTGATAAATTGTTCATTGTTATTATAATCTGTCATATAAAACATTTGTGAATTGTCTTTTTGTGACAAATAACTTTTTCTGTTTGAAAATTTTCCTTTTCATTGGATAATTTAATTTTTGTACCCAATTTCACCAGTGCTTCTCTTTTCTTTTTTTTATTTTCTTCATTGTTACTTTTTGGAAGACAAAATTATTGTAAATATAATCGAAGGCAAAAATAATTTTAATTAAATAATTATTTTTGAACTGCAAACAAAGCATTGGTAAATCTTTTCAATTTTGAATATATAACCGGAATTGTCGAAATATTTGATACCGGAAGAAATGATACATTCATATCGTTCCGAAAGATGAAAATCTTGCTTTCAGGAAACAAACTAGAGGGTTGATCAAGTATCATTCCGAATAATATATTTGAGGTATTTATTTTCGTAGATCAAATTAAATAATAATCAAAATTGATAACTGTTGGGAAAACCATTACGGAGAGTTAATTAAGATTCATTTTTTAACCGGAATATTAGATCCGTTTAAATCTGATCTAATCAAATAATGATATAAAATATTATCAGAATGGTAAATCAATTAGATAAGATTACATACAATTATTGATATGTTTGTCATCTTTGCTCTATCAATTTTATTCTGAACAAAAGATGACTTCCTTGCTCGATGATTCATTGTTGTCACATATTATTACTATCATGGTGACATGCAATCAATTAAAAAGTTTAGCGCTAAGTAAGCAAAAAAAATTACAATAGAATGAATAGTTTGTTTTGTGGCCAATAAACAATTATTTGATATGGCCAAAAGTTATTTATTAGCTCAAAAGTAAATAATATTCAAAATTATTATAAAAAATTTTTTTTCACACATCGATACGATGCAGCAATATAAATTACTTTTAAACGATTATTACTTAAATTAGATCAGATCTTACGATGCTATTATTAAGTAATCTTTTATTATTGTTATTTTTTGTCAAACCGTTTTTTCTTTTATTTAAACAATTGAGATGAAAAATTTGTGATAAATTTTTTGTTGACAGTTTTTCTTTCCTCTTTTTATTGTTTCTTTGTTTGTTTTTTGTTCATTTTTATTATTAGAAAAAATATGCATTATAAAAAATTTATTTACTGATTATATGGCTTACAAAGCTAATTATAATAATAACTCATTAGTTTTATCAAAAATAAAAATAATAAACAATCCATATGGTTGGAATAAACAAATGAATAAACGATAATAAAACAAAATTTTTGAAAAATAATTTTTAGAATTTGAAATGATATCGTATTGAAGTTTAATAGGAAAGCTTAGAGCGTTCTATTTAGCATTTCAAACAACATTTTTTTGCTCGAAATATTGGATTATTTGCACATACATATGTTTATATTTACATTCATATTTTTATTTATGTTTGTATTTTTATTTATATAATTGTTTATTCATATATGTATTTGTATTAATAATACATTTATACTTACATTTATTTTATATATTTACATTTTTATACTTATATTTATATTAATAATTGAATTTGTACATTCACATATTTATATTTGTATTTATACATTTATATTTTTGTATTTGTATTTCTATTTCTATATGTATGTATATACATCTGCATTCATATATTTGTATTTATATATTCATGTTGATATTTCTATTCACATTTTTATGTTTATACTTAAAATTTATTTTAACTTATATTTATGCTCATAATTATTTTTTTATTTGTATTTATTTTTTTATAATTATATTTATATATATTCTGTCTACATTTATGTTTATATGACATCTTCAAAATAAGCCTTTTCTATATTTGATTTATTATCAATTTAATAACTTCAAATATTTTTTTCTTTTTTTTTTTTTGCAATTTATTAATGGAAATATAATGTTTTGACATTTGATAGACATATTTTTTGTAAAATTTTTATCTTTTAATTATTAAATGTATAATTGGAAATTATGTACTCATATTGTTTCTAACGTATATATTATATTAGCTAACAAGAAAAAATGGAAAGTATTTATAAAAATTAATTATATATAATAATACATTATAATATTTGTAAATACATCTATGACTCATTTATCAGTGTTCAAATTTAAAAATTATTAATAACAAATTTATGCAAATTGATATATGTATGTTTGTAAAATTGTTTTTATAATTAGTTTTTTTATATGATATTTATTAATCACATTTTTTTTCATTACTTTATTTTTCTTATTTATTTATATTTCCTTTTTTTTTTTTTTTTTTTTTTAAAAAAAAAATAAAGCATCAATTAAATCTTTACCCCGAACTCATGATGTAAACAAAAATTGAAAATGGCAAAAGGTAATTGATTACTTATGTAATTTAGTACCAGAAATGTTCCTGTAAACAGGTAACTGAATATAATTAATTAGTCTTACGAAACATACGAATGAAATGCACTGCAAATTGAATTAGCTAATAAAAACTAAAAATTTAATTTACAATTTAACAACACTTTGTGCATATTATTAATTTATTCATTGGTGATAAATTGTTCATTGTTATTATAATCTGTCATATAAAACATTTGTGAATTGTCTTTTTGTGACAAATAACTTTTTCTGTTTGAAAATTTTCCTTTTCATTGGATAATTTAATTTTTGTACCCAATTTCACCAGTGCTTCTCTTTTCTTTTTTTTATTTTCTTCATTGTTACTTTTTGGAAGACAAAATTATTGTAAATATAATCGAAAGCAAAAATAATTTTTAATTAAATAATTATTTTTGAACTGTAAACAATGCATTGGTAAATCTTTTCAATTTTGAATATATAACCGGAATTGTCGAAATATTTGATACCGGAAGAAATGATACATTCATATCGTTCCGAAAGATGAAAATCTTGCTTTCAGGAAACAAACTAGAGGGTTGATCAAGTATCATTCCGAATAATATATTTGAGGTATTTATTTTCGTAGATCAAATTAAATAATAATCAAAATTGATAACTGTTGGGAAAACCATTACGGAGAGTTAATTAAGATTCATTTTTTAACCGGAATATTAGATCTGTTTCAATCTGATCTAATCAATTGTTGATATAAAATATTATCAGAATGGTAAATCAATTAGATAAGATTACATGCAATTATTGATATGTTTGTCATCTTTGCTCTATCAATTTTATTCTGAACAAAAGATGACTTCCTTGCTCGATGATTCATTGTTGTCACATATTATTACTATCATGGTGACATGCAATCAATCAGAGAATTTGACACAAACTAAGTAAAAAATATTAAAATTATTGAGCTAATCCAAAAGTGACGTACTTATAATCTTTACTGTTTCATTCATTAACAAAGAGCTTTTCTCCAAACCGATTGTCACCTGTATATGCGACAATCGGTGGTTCCAGTGAATATTAGTCAGTGGAAGCATTTCAATTTTACATCAACATAAAACGTGAAATTTTAATCGCTTTAATTGCATAATGAACCTTTATTAAATTTCAATAACAAAGTAAGCAATGAAGTTTTGTCACAAATGTCACATTTACTTAGATTATTATACTAATTTATAATATAAATGATCTATTTCTCCTCTTCTGTCCAACTACTTTTAGTCGCATAATCTAAATTTCAAATGCAAACTTTAAGTAAATCAATTAGGTCATTTACTCTTTTTTTTTAAAAAAAAAAATTTTATGATATAATGTAAATTGCTATGATTTATTGCAGTGTTAATTTTGCAACTAATTATAAATGATTTAATTATTGAATTAGTGTTTGCAAGATTTAAGCATTTCTTCGTCTATCTTATGTGTTTATAATATTTTTAACAAAAGTTTAATAAATTATTAAAAAAAAACAAAAAATTTTCTTTGATAAAAAAGAAATATATTCGGTGTTACTAATTTCAGGAAAATTAATTAGAATACAAGACTAAAAAAAATCAAAGTAAAAAATGTATCTGATATCAGTATTTTCAAGAAAATTTGATCCATTGATCCAATATCATTAATTTTAGGACAATTAAATAAATTTAGCTATTATAAAACTTTTCAATTTTCATAAGAATAGATAAATTATTTAATAGGTAAATAAAATAAGATACGATGGATATACGAATGTTGTAAAAGTAAATATGTAATTTTTAAAAGTAAGCTATGTAATTTGAAAATTTCTATTATTATTAAAATATAATAAACAAAATTTGTTAATTGTATTCATCAAATAGTAGTACTAAAGTAATTACGTTTTATAAATGAATTTAAAAATTAGTTATGTAAATGAAAATTGGCGTAAACGTATTTTAATGATTAGTGTTCATTTAGTAGTTATTAATAATTTTAATAATTTTAGAATTAATGGGAACCGAAGGTGTATGGAATACTTATGGCCTAAATCAGGTTAATTTCATAAATATCGGTTTCCTTTTTTTTGTTCAGTTTAAATTTCAATTAAAATAAATAGAATGATGTAATCAATTTAAAGTTTCATATTATACATTTTTTTTTATTGTTTAATATATTAGCTAAAAAATAAATAAACAATTCTTTTTCACAGCAATATTTTTGAATAAATTAACAGAGAAAAACTAAAAGAAAAATTCTATTAATTTTATTTTCTAAAAAAAAAAAAGTTTTAATTAAATTTTATTATTTTAAGATAAAATTTTGACAAAATTATTTTCACAAATTTTTTTAAACGTAATTAATATTAAAATAAACATTTCATTTATTTTTTTAAGGATGAATATGATCGAAAATTTCAATACAGGTCAAAGTCAGCGATGAAACATCGGTTGAAGTAATACTTATTAATGATGTTACAATGTCTGATACACGAATATTTTCCTGGTATCGCTCATCTTCTTTCGATATCAATGACAGAGAGAGAGGGAGAGAGGGAAAGATAAAGGGAAAAAGAGAAGAAATGAAAAAAAACCCTTATACCGGATATTATTTACCCATTTTCCTGAAAAAGAAATTTTTTTTTGTCAAAATAAAAATGAATTTTACGTATTAACTTACGATAGTTTACTTAACGTACGTTTCCTTTCTATATATATACGTGATAATGCTATTTCAACGTTTTTTCTTTTTTTTACGTCATTTGTTTGGTAAGTTACTACTTGCATTTGCATGCAAATATTTCAATTTACTAAATAGAATGCAATTATATCAATGTTTTATATATTTTTTTAAATTATTTAATTTCAATTAATATTCTTTGTATAATTTTATTATAGAAATTTCATATATTTTATGGATGCATAAATTTGTATTATAATTTTAGAAAATAATAGAAGTAAAAAAAAGTGATAATTTAAAATTTGCAATATTCATAAATAAATGATAATATGAATGATTAAAAATTTTATTGTTGTGAGATAATTGATAAAAATTTTTAGAAAAGTAACAAATCGGACATTTGCGCCATGCTCAAATCCAATTAATTTATGGCAATGGTTTACAAATTTCGTACCAATTTTGCAATGGTTACCAAATTATCAATGGAAAAATGATATGATCCATGATATTATCGGTGGTTTAACAATTGGTATAATGCATGTACCGCAAGGTTTATTTTATTTTTTTTTTTTAAATAAATTTATCACTGTAATAAATATACTTATCAGTTTGATAAAAAAAATTATCATTTTACTAACTGTGAATAATTCATAATCGTTTTGTTGAACTGATAAGAATTCACAACATTAATAGATATTATTGATTTAATTAATTTATAACTTTTGCAGAAATTTTCTTTTTTTCTTTTTTGTTCTTCTAGTGCTTATAAATATATTGTATTTTGGACTGTTTTAATTAATTTAAAAAAACATTTTTTTGTTTTGTTGAATTTCTTTTTTAATTAAATTTTTTTTCAAATTTCTTTTTTTATTAACTTCATTTTTTTTAAAAATTTTTTAACATTTTTTTTTAGTAATTATAGATGTTAGATAGATTTTAAAAAAATTTTATTTACTCTACTTAATCTAAAATATTTTCGTTTTGCTAAATTTTTTTTTTTTTTTTAGTAATCAAATTTTAAAAAAAACTTTTTTTATTTAGCGATTGTACATATTAGATAGATTATAAACTAAATTTGCTTACATTTTAATTAATTTAAAATGATAGCTATTTTAATTTCTTTTGAAAATTTTATAATTATTAGTATTACTTATGTATTTTACAGGTATAGCATATGCAGTGTTAGCAGGTGTTGATCCGGTATACGGCTTATATTCATCCTTTTTTCCGGTCTTTTTTTATATGTTTTTTGGAACATCAAAACATGCATCAGTTGGTAATCATCTTTTCTTGTTAATTTTTATAAAATTTAAAATTAAGAACAAATATAAAGATCTTTTTTTTTATGAATAAAAATTTGTTTATCACTAATTCTGAATTAATAAATTACATTAATTAATGTTATGACATATTTATTTTACTTATATTATTTTTTGCTTAAGAATTTAAAAATTGGTAAATAAAAATTTAATTCAAAATTGATAAATTACATTGATTAATGGTATCAAATATTCAAATCATATTATTTTTACTTAATAATTTAAAAAATAAATAAATGTTAACACTAGTTTTAGTTACTGGTTACTGAAAGAAAAATTATTGCTTATTTTTAATTAATCACTAAAAAATAAATTATTAATTATTATAAAAATAAATATTATCGTTTAAAAAAAAAAAAAAAACTATTAGTTCTGATTTTGTTTGTTACTGTATAAAATAAATACTGTTTATTAGTTAATAAAAAATAAACAAATATTATTAGTTATTTTTATTTACTACAAAAAAAAAATAAATGTCACTGTTTATTAGTTAGCAAGAACAAAATATTATTTTATCGCAAAAACAAAATACATATTATTTATTATAGTTATTAATTATTATAAAAATAAACATTAGCTATTTTTAATTAATTACTGCAGAAAAAAATTAAATTTTACTACTTATTACTTATCAAAAATAAAATCTTATTGTTATTAAAAAAAAACTAATATTCATTATAGCTATCAAAAAACAAATCAATATTTTTTATTAATTATTATAAAAATAAATAAAATATTATTATCACTATTATTTAGGATCATTTGCTGTGACAGCAATTATGTCTGCACTAGCAAGCAATGAAATTATGCTTCATCGATCACAAACAGATGATATCATTATCATTGATAATGATAACAACACATTATCATCACTAACCCATATTGAAATCACTACAACACTTGCATTTACAACTGGAATTATTGAAGTAATTAATTTGCATTCCTTTTTTTTTACTAATAATAAAATAATTATTTAATTTAATTCAATTTATTTCATTTCTAAATTATTACTTTATGGTATTCATTCATTGTTAATTGATAATTTCAACAATTAATGTATTTTTTATTTTTTTTTTGAATGTATTTAAACATAAAATAAAATTTAGTATTTTTTTTTTAAATTTAGCAATTTGATTATTATTTGATATTTATTAATAAATAACAAATAATATCGTTAATGAATTAGTTAAAAAAATTTTTTTTTGGGGGGAATTATCAATGCACTGTCTTTTTTTTTATTTATTTAATAAAAATTTTTCATTTTAGTTAATGGCGGGTATTTTACAATTGGAATTTGTTACTGCTTATTTCTCAGATCAACTGGTTTCCGGTTTTATTACCGGTTCTACTGTACATGTTATTATTGCTCAAATAGATGATTTCTTTGGAATTAACGTACCAAAATTTAGTGGAATAGGATATCTTTTTAAGGTATTAATAAATATTTATTAAAAATTATTAAAAAATATTTTCATTTTCAAAAAAATTGAAGTATTTCTTTAAAAATATTAAAAATTGTTTTGACAAAACATTTGAAAAGTTTATGTAGCGTTTTTGCTTTTTTTTTCTTCAATCTTTATTTTTTTTAAGAATTTGATTAAGTTAATTAATTTTTGTCAGAAAAAAAAATTAAATTAATGAATATATTTTTATATATCGACAAAAAAGCACAAAAATATTTTTCAATAATTTTTTGATTAATTTTATTGCAAAATTATTTATTGCATTTTTCTTTTATTTTTTTTTCTTTGTTATTCACAGGTTATTGGTATTAATATTACAAATTACTTAACTCAATTAATTAATAATTTAATTAAAAAAGCAAAAAAAAATAATCAAAAAATTAATAATTTGGTAATATTGCAATTAATTTTATTTATACAATAATTCATAAAGAATGTTTTGCAAAGTTTTCTAAATTTAAAAAAAAAATAAACAAATTTGTAATTTATTAATTAAATATATTAGCTAATATATTTTTTGTTTTAGTATTTGTTTTTTTGTTTTGTTTTGTTTTTTTTTTTTCAGCGAATTTATAGTATTTTAATACATATCCCAGAAACTAACTTTTATACAGTTGGATTATCAATTTTTGGTATAATTTTCCTTTATTTGGGTAAAACTCTTATGACACCATTTTTAAACAAATGTTTACAATTTAATTTACCTATACCTTATGAATTACTTTTGGTAAGTATTTCATTCATTTACTTATTTAATTATTTATTTAAATTATTATTTTTTTAATGCATGAAATTTTTTTTTCTTCATAATTATACTGCAATTGATAAATGATGAGGAAAAAAAGTGATAAATAATTAAACAGTATGTGTTATAGAAAAAATAATTCAATGTATGATTATAACATAAAAATGAGAAATAAGAAAATTTAATCTTTCAATAAATTTAATTGAAATAATTTTTGAACAAATTTTTTCTTTTTTTTAAAGTTTGCAAATTCAATGTATTTGGTAATTTTTTTTTTTTTTTTGTTTTTGTATCAGTGGTTATAATTGTTTAATAAATTTAATAGGAATATATTCTTTTTTTTTCCATAAAATTCGAATTATATAATGGAATAATTAATCTGCTATATATTACTAAATTTTATAATTAAATCAAATAATATGAATTATTTAATTTAATAAAGCACTATGAAATGTGTTATAAAATATTATAATTAAACAAATTTTGATTGAAATAAGTTTTTCAAATGATTAAGCTAATTATGCATAAATAGTAAAACGATTTAAATGTAATTTGTAATTTAAATATTACAGATAGTAATATCAATTATTATTTCACATTATATGAATTTGCATACATATCACAGTGTACCAATTGTTGGTAAAATTCCTACAGCGTAAGTGTTTTGCTTAAATATTTGATTAAAATTATGAAAATTAGTTCAAAATATGATTGAAATTAAATATTGAAAAAATTTTTTAATTAAATGTTATTTCAAAAAATTTTTGTTTAAAAAGATATTTTCGGATTAAAGAACAAAAAAAAAATGTGGAAGAATAAAAATAAATTAATATTGCCAAAAATAAATAAATATTACCATTCATTGTTAAAAAAGATTCTATTTGAATATTATTTCAAATTTAATTCTTAATTTCTATATCAAGATATTAAAAAGTAATTTCTGGTTAAAAAAAAATAGTAAAATAAGCAAAAAATGTATAAATATTATGATTGATTGTTAAAAAAAATTTTTAGTTAAATATTATTTCAATTTTAAGTTCTAATTTTTTGACTAAACAAGAATGCCAAAAATGTGATTACACTGATGCATATTAATAATAAAAGTTATATTTTAAGGCTTTTATCAAACTTTTTTGTTTTCGTTTTTTTTTTTAATAACATTTAAAATAAGAAAAATTTTTGACTTATCATTTACCAATTAATTAATTAATTTTTTAAATTTTAAGCTTACCTAAGCCAAGATTGCCTCGTTTTGATATTGTTATTGATTGTTTTCCATATGCTATTGGTATTGCTGCTGTTACCGTTGCTATTCATATATCAATGGCTAAAATGTTAGCTAAACGTATGAAATATCACATTGATTCTAAACAGGTTAATTAATTTTAGGTCTAAACAGGTTAATTAATTTTGGGATGAAATTTTGATATTTATTATAAAAAAAATTTTTTTTTTTATTTTAACATTTGTTTTTTTGGTTTTGACGATGGAATTATTTTCCATTTTTTTCTTTCTATTTTGATGACTTTTTCCTGTCACTGTTGCTTTTTTTTTTGTTATTTAAAATTTAATTTAGCACAAATTTTTGTCTTTTTTAGAAATTAAAATTTTTTGTACATTAGAAATTCAAAATTCAATTGAATAAAATATCGTATTAATTCCAAAGTTAATTAATTCTGAAAAAAAAAATTTGTTATTAAAAAAAAAATCCTTTTTAAAAATTTTTTTTATTTTGATGGTGCAGTACCGTTTTTTTTTTTTTTTTTTTTTGTTAGTTTTTCATTGGTTTTCTCGTTGTTGAATCGTTACTTTCTGCTTATTTAAAATTTATCTTTGTTACAATTTTTTAATTAGAATTTTGAGATTTAATTTTGTTAAAAATTTTTTTTTATAAGTTTAAAAATTTTTTAATAAATAATTATAACATTTTAAGTTACATATGTCTTTCTTCACAGTTTGTTGTTAATTTCAATTAATTTTATTAATCGAAATTAATAAGATATCGTAATTTTAATTAACTTTTTAATTATTCAATTTAAATTCCTTTTTTTTCTATTTTAGGAGTTATATGCATTAGGTTTTACAACAGTTCTCAGTAGTTTCTTTCCAATTTATCCGATTGCTACTGCATTAGCTCGAACAATGGTCGGTGTTGAAGTTGGCATAAGAACACAGGTAAACATATTTTTAAAAAAAAATTAATAAATTCATTTTAACTTTAACAAAAGTAAAAAATAATTCCCTCTCTCTGTCTTCTTTGTCTCTCCCTCTCTCTCTGTCTTTTAGTATTATGTAATTTGATAAGTTGCAAATATTCTCTTTCTTTTCTTTTCTTTTTTTTAATTGCTAGAATTATCTACCAATAATAATTATTGTTTCATTAGCAACAATTAATCGAATTGTTTCAATAATATTATAATTTTAAGTTCGAAAGAAAATCTTAATAATGAATGATAATAGTATAAATTATACTGATAACATTGTTATCAGTTCAGAGTGATAAGATAGACTTTAATCATAATTTTACTATGAATATTGTATGGCAAAAATAAAATTAAAAATTTAATTTGTTAATTTGTTGATAATTGTAAAAATACATAAGTTTTATCGAAAAAATTTATTGTCATTATTAATTTCACATAAATATCAATCATTGAAATAATTATTTTATTAACTGTTATATTATTTAAGGCAAACATCAAAGAGAGAGAGAGAGAGAGAGAGAGAGATGAGGTGAAAATATTACGAACAAAATCAATTTGCTTGATAAAATATTTTTATCCGAAAATTTTTCTTATGATAATCGTTTAAGTTAAAAGATTAATTGAAATATAAGTGAAATGTGAAATAATTGAAATTTTTTTTTTGTAATTTTTCGAAAATGATTCGTAGACAATAAGTTTAAATCATTTTGTAAATGGTAATGTTAACATCTAACAAAATTCATATAATTACGATTATGTTTTAATAATTATATAGCTGATATAAACAATAAACAATCAAATAAGCATTATAAATTTTTATTAATGTTAATTTAATTAATAAAATGCATAAATGTTGAAAAATAATTTCTCACTCAATTTGTTATTAAAATTGAAACAGTTTTAATGCTTATTAAAAAAGAAAAAAGAAATATTTTATTATTAAAATTGAAATAGTCTTAATTTAGTTAAAAATGAAATGAAATAAAATGTATTGGAATGATATAATTTTTCATTGCTATAAATTTTTAAATATTTAATATTACTTTGATTATTTTGCTGTATAAACAATTGAAATTAAAAAAGTATGAGTAAACAAAGAAATGAATAAACAATTGAAACTTAAAAAAAAGTTTCAATTGTTTATTCATTTCTTGAATATATAAAATTTATTTTTCTTTTTTTTTCTTAGTTTTTGCTTTTGTTTTGTTATTTTTCAAAGGTGTTCCACTTTTTATATATTTATTCAAATTTACATCATTTTATCATTTCATTTTTCCATTTCTATTTGGCATTGATCGAATTTTAAATTTTCAATTTTCATTCGACTATCCTAATTAATTCAATTTTTACAAATATCAAACATTTTCTTATGTCAGAGAACAAATAAAAAATACAAACATTTTTAAAAAAATGAATTAAAATAATTTATTCATTAATTAAATAAATGAATAAATGCTTTTTTTAATTAATATCAAAAATAAATAATTTATGATTATTACAGTTTTCTGCTATATCAAGTTGTTTATTATTATTGGCCGTTATTCTAGTGCTTGCACCACTACTAAATGCATTACCAATGGTTTGATATTTTATTTATTTATTTCAAGAAAAAAAAACTTTTTAAAAAACAAAAACAAAAAAAAAGAATTTGAAAATAAAAATAGAGTAGAAAAAAGTTTTTTTTTTTATTTTTAAAATTTAAATTAAACATATTTTATAGTGTATATTGACTGTTATTATCGTTATGTCGCTTCGTTCAATGTTTCAAAAATTTTCCGAATTGCCAAAAATTTGGCCTATTTCTAAAATTGATTTCGTATGTTTCATTAATAATTTTTACAGCAATTCATTTCATTCATTTCTCTCTTTTTTTTTACTAAATAAAATAAAATAAATGTTTTAATTATAGAATAAAATTATTATGATATTAGCTATAGAAGTTGAATTTAAAATTGGTGCTTTATTTTTTTTTTAAAAATTTTTTCTTTTATATCATTTGTAATGTGACGTTTAAATTTCAATGAAAATTAATTAAGATCAAAATTTCATTAATGCATTGACTAATATTGTTTATCTTTTGATGATAAATAATATAATAATATGATATTAGATAAATTATTATTATTATCTTAATTGAGTGTTAATTTAGCTTATTATCATTTAAATTAGTTAATTCAATAAAATATCGTTTTAAATAATTGAATAATTTGCAGTTTATTTGGATTGTAGCATTTATAACAACCGTAGCACTAGACGTTATGATTGGTTTGATAATTTCAGTAATATTTGCTATAATGACACTTATTGTTCGTTCACAGTGGTATATATTATCTTCAATATTTATTTTTTCTTTTTAAATTATATTTATTCTTTTTTTTTGTTTTTAAAATTTAAATTAATTATATTTCACAAAACTCTTAAATATTATTTCTTCATGTCTTCCAGAAAAAAAATATGTATATACACATATATTATGTTTATATAAATGTTGAAATTTATGAAAATAATATCAATTGAACTACAAATATTTTAATAATGATAATGATAACAATGATAATAATGATAATTGGTAATGATAATAAGTAGTAATTAGTTATAATAATAAATAATAATATTAATAACAATAAAAATAGCAGTAATGATGATAACTGTAACGATAACAATGCTAATAATAAACAATAATTGGTAATAATAATAATTAATAATAACAATAATAATGATAACAGCAATGATAACAATAATAATTAATGATAATATATATATATATATATATAATATATATAATAATAGTATAATAATAATAATAATAACAATAATAATATTTGACAATAATAGTAATAACAATAATAATAATAATAATAATAATAATAATAATAATAATAATAGTAATAATAATAATAATAATAATAATAATAATAATAATAATAATAATAATAATAATAATAATAATAATAATAATAATAATAATAATAATAATAAATAATATTTTAAGATAAAGCTAATATATGCATACAACTATTTTATATTATAAAAGCTAAATGTTTATTAATGAATTTTTTTCATTTTTGTTTTCTTTTTTAAGGCCTCGCTGGGAAAGATTGGTACAATTATCACCGTCTCAGCCATACTTTGATAATCCAAAACGTTACCTTGCAGCAGCAAATAATCCTAATATTCGTTTATTTCGTTTCGAATCACCGTTACTATTTAATAATGTGGAATGTTTTAAATTAGGCATTTATAATGCGATAACTGATTGGAAGACTAAAACTGATATAAATGTAAAAATTAATTTCAATTAAAATTTTTGATTGAAAAATTTCAGTAAGAAAAATCGTTTTTTTTTAAAAAAAGGAATTTTTTATTTCAAAATAATGAAGAATTTTAACTTAGTAATATTAATAAATAATTTTTAAAAAGATTTTACAAATAATTTCTTTTTCCTTTCAAAGAATTTTAAAATTTATAATTGTAACATCATAATATTGTTGCAATCGATAGATAATGTAATTGAAAAAATTATGAAACAGCTTAAATCTTTGAAATTTTCAAAATTTTTTTTTGGTATTCAAGAAATTTTAAAATTTAGATATGGCAAAATGATAAAAAAAAAATTCTGTTTTGCCTCATTAAAATTTTCAACTATATTTTTTACTTAAAGTATTAAAAAGAAAAAATATTTTTTTTTTTAAACTTTTTTATATTTACAGAATGATTCGGTAAATGCGAATAATTTGGAAAATTTAAATCAACGCTATGTTATTCTTGATTGTTCCGGTATATCCTATATTGATTGTATGGGATTAAATATTTTAAAAGAGGTTCAGTTTAAAATTTAAAAAAAGAATCAAAGAGATCTTATTTTCTTCTGCAATAATTTCAAATTTAAATTATTTTAAATTTAATATTTTACGATTAGAATAATAGCTTAATAAGCGAATTTATAAAATTTCACTTATGAGAATTTCTTTTTTTATCACGGCTATGATAGCATTTTTGAACGATCATTTACAATTTTTTTTTGATAGATTTGCAAGTTTTTGATCGATTTAGAAAGTTCTTTTTTTTTGAAATAATCAATATAAATATGATTTGTGATATTTCTGATAAGAATGTTAACTAAATGAAGTGATCATTTTACTTGAAATGCAATTGTTTGCTCAATATTAAACTGAAAAATCTTTTTGACTTAAAATTTTATTTAATATTTTAGTTGCAAATAATCCATCCATTGAAATTTTCTTATACAATATTTTCTATTTTATTTTACATACATATATAATATTTATAAAATTTTTGAAAAGCATTGTTTTTTGTTTTTTAATTTTAATTTTAGGTTGCTGATGAGCTAAAAAGTGAAAATATTATCATACACTTTAGTGCTTGCAACAGTAAGTTTATTTTCAATTTTTTTTTTCTTTTGCAATATAGCATTAAACAATTAATTAATTTTACAAAGAATTCATGCAGTGCAAAAATATTTAAATCCTTTTGAGTTAAATTAAAATTTTATTCACTATATTTTTAAATTATTTATTATTATTATCATTTATTCAGCATAAATTATGCATATTTGTAATGCAAATATGTGGCAAATATTTATTTGTTAGTACTTAAATTGCAAACTATTTTTTTAATTCGATAATAATGAAATAATCGAAATTGATTTTTCCGCTTGCTACTATAACAATCATTTCATATGTGATAATTTTTATGATAAACATTGAATTCCATTCAAAAAAACTAAATTTAAAATTAAATTATAAGAAAGAATGAAATAGTTGGAGTTATAAATTTCATCAAAAATACATTAATTTAATTGGCCATTTAATATTAATTACAGTTAATATATTGTTAATTAATTGGCTAATTAATTATAATTATAGTTAATTAATTACAGCATAACATAAATTAAATTAGATTATAAGAATGAAGCTTTTTTTTCAGCTAGTGTTCGTGATTCGTTAGCAGTAGCAAAATTTTTTAAAACTATACCAAAGCATTGTTTTTTCCCAACAGTAGATGATGCTATCGCAGTGATAAGTCATTTCCGGTTACTTTTTTTTTCTTCCTTTTCTTATTTTTTTGTTTTTATTTTTTGCCATTCATTTATTTTATGCTTTTTTGTAATTCACAATTATTGAAAAATTATTGACAGTTAAATTTAAACAATTTCTAATGCATTTAATTAATAATGATAATGCATGATAAGAGATGATAGTACTAATTAACAATAATTAATAATAATAACAAAATGATAAGATAGAGGAAAAAAAAATTTTTTTCTTTTTCATTCATATAAATAATTAATAATTTTAAATTGTGATATTTTCAGGAGAACAAATCAATGTAAAATTTCTCCTACTACAAAAGCATTGAATCATAATGATAATAATATAATGCAACTACGAATTGATTCTGATATGATAATAGCTTCTGATACTGCAACTTTATCAGAAAAATTTTGAATTATTATTTTTGCTAATTTTTACGGTTAGAATAATATGTGCAATAATATTAAAAAATTATTAAACAAAAAAAGGAAATTTTCCTTTATTTATAAATAATGAAATTGCAATATAGCATTAAAAAATGATAACAGATGATTTTTATAAAATTATTCTACAATAATTCCAAAGTAGTAATAAATAATAATTAATGATAATAACAAAAACAGTAATAATAATAGTAGCAATAATAATAACGATAATAATAATTAGTAATAATAATGATAATAATAAATAGAAATAATAATTAACAATAAATAATAATAATAATAATAATAACAAAATGATAATATAAATGCTTTTCTTTTGTCATCAATAACTAATAAAATTGCAATATTAGCATAAAAAAATGATAACAACTGTTTTTGTAGAATGACAATAATAAGAGAACAATTTCACGAGAGAATGCATTTTTTTGTGATATTTCATTTCTTTCATTAGCTAATATGTTATACCTCATACATCACCTGTATATGTATTACCTGTATAAAATTATCATTCATATCAAGCTAACAAATACCCTCATCTAACTCAATTGATAACCTTTTAGTGATATAAATTACAATTATTATCTATCAATTTGAAACAATCATTATTGTTATTATTGTTATTACTGTTATTTATTTATTATTATTATTAAATTGCTACAATCATTAATTTTCTTTTATTCAACAATTAAAACTTTTCAATGCCACAATTTCAAAATTGTGCTAAATTAAAATGAATATTTTTGTCTAAACTACATTTACCTGTTCATATTTTATACTTAAAAAATTAAATAAAAATTTCAAAGATATTTACTTAATGAATGAATGAATGAATTTTTTTTTTTTTTTGCCATCAACTTTCCATCAATCTTTTCTATCATTCTTTTTTTTTACTCAAATTTATAAAAGAAAAAAAATGATAATTTTCAAATCTAATATTTAATATTGAACAGAAATATAAATAAGATAACTAATCATCAAAATAAATTTTTTCTTTTTGAATAAAAATAAAAAGATCAAAATAATTAAATCATTTGCAATGAATACTTTTTACCAGAATATTCATTATCTATTTGAAGTTAATTAGGAAGAAAATTGAAGTTTAAAAAGAGGAATTGTTTACAACGATTTTATCCTTACTTTACTCTTTCTAAATCTTATCGCTCACATTTGCATAAAGTAATTGTATATGTAAACAACAATACAATAGCTATAATAGTAAGATTAATTGGAATAGGTATAAAGGTGTACAGGTAGGATTTTATAAAATAGATAGAGATAAGATTGATTTATCTCCTTTACTCGTTAATTAATATCAATAAAATATGGAAATGTATTTCGACGAAACTATTCTATTTTACCCGAAATAAAAAGAATATTACCCACATACTTCCCAACTCATCTTCCATAATTATCCTCATGTAATTATAGCAATTAAATTTGCCAACAATTATTTACATGAAAGACTAATGTTATTATATTTAATTTCTTTTTTAAAAAAATTTTTAAAAGCATTTTTTAAAAAAAGAATTTTTTTTTATAAGTTATTAATGAATCACAATTAGAATGAATTATTTCATTTAGATTGAATTAAGTGATAATTTAAATTGAGAGAGCTATTTTAGAGAACTAATAAAGATGCCATTTTCTTTTTTAACGGAATATATTAATCTGTTTAAATTAAATCAAATTAAATTGAATTTAGTCGATTGATTAGTAAAAGATATTATCGGGAAGATAAATCAATTGGATAAGATTACATTACATGAAATTCATTAATATGTCACCTTTGTCATGTCCAACAACTTCATTCAGCTGTCAATTTGTAATTGTCACATTTGAACAAAAGATGATTTCATTATTCGTTAAATTCAACATTCTAACATATTATTTACAATTTAAAAAAAAAAAAATTTTTTTTTTTCTACAGAACATATATAAGTCATTGATAAATCGCATTTAGAATGAATTATTTCATTTAATGTAATCAAAAAATATATATTAAATAGAAAAGTAAACAGTACTTAGGAAGAAATGTTTTGTTTTTAATTTTACATTATTAAGACAGATAGATATATCTTTCCATTCCACTTCGATATAACCAATAGTTTACTATAAATAAATATCAAATAAAGAATTTCTAACGACTATAAGCTAAACTTGTGAAACAATTTTAAAACCAGAAATGAAAGATATAATAAAATAATAAAGTGGAAAATTTGTTTATAACTAGTAAATAGGAAATAATAGTAAATAATATAAATACATAAACAAATATATATATTTATAACTCTAATTTTTCTGTTAGAAAGGTCTTTGATAAATTTTAGTTAAATTTTTGCGAATGACTCAAATATATTTAACAATCTAAGAATGTTTCAAAGATTTTTCTAACTTTTCGAAATATAATTTATTTCAACGATATGAATGAATTATGTATTGGACTGATGAACGAAAGGCATTTATTATAGCATAGAAAGAATAGAAGTTAGATTAATGAAAGTCTGATGATTTGAATTTTTTTGTCTAAGACAGGTAAATTAAACAGACGAATGGTTTTGTGGAAGAGAAAAAAGAAGGCAATCAATCATGCATGCTTTGACATCCGATAAATTGTCAACCGAATTGTCTAGAATAACTAACCTAACCACTGATATAATACATTATGAATCTGATGACAATAGATGAATGATTCTGCTAACAGCACATGACGATTCTGATGTGAAGACGTGACGATTCTGATACGAAGACGTGATGATTCGGAATGATTCTGATGTGAAGAGTGATGATTCGGAATGATTCTGATGTGAAGAGTGATGATTCGGAATGATTCTGATGTGAAGACGTGATGATTCGGAATGATTCTGATGTGAAGACGTGATGATTCGGAATGATTCTGATGTGAAGAGTGATGATTCGGAATGATTCTGATGTGAAGAGTGATGATTCGGAATGATTCTGATACGAAGACGTGATGATTCGGAATGATTCTGATGTGAAGAGTGATGATTCGGAATGATTCTGATGTGAAGAGTGATGATTCGGAATGATTCTGATATACGAAGAGTGATGATTCGGAATGATTCTGATGTGAAGAGTGATGATTCGGAATGATTCTGATGATTCGGAATGATTCTGATGTGAAGAGTGATGATTCGGAATGATTCTGATGATGATGATTCGGAATGATTCGTGGTGATGATTCTGATGATGTGAATGATTCGGAATGATTCTGATGTGAGAAGAGGTGATGATTCTGATGTGAAGAATGATTCTGATGATGTGAGTGATTTGAATGATTCTGATTAATGATGATAAATCCGTGATGATTCATTCTGATAAATGATGATTTTTGGGAGTAAAAGAAGAATGAACAATTGATTTAGCGGAAGAAAGAAAAAAAAAAAGATAATGCTTCTGACATCCGACAATCTGTTACACTTTTAAGTCGTTTGAAAATTAATTCCCATCCGGAAAAAAAAAGAAAAAAAAAGCTTCCTGCAAAATTTTCGTAATATTTTGTTTTCTCTTTCTTTCTTTTTTTTCTTTTAACTTTCCTTTTTTTTTTCAATTCAATCAAGTAGTAATTTATCATTATAAAATCACAATTGAGGTTGAGAAAGAGGAAGAGAAATAGAAAAGATAAAAGTTACAAATTGAGAAAGAATAATAATGCCATAATATTAATCTATCAAGGGAATTAACTAATCATCTAACCAAAAAAAAAAAAAAATTTTTTTTCACTCTTATAAAATTTGAAAAGCTCACTTTTTTCTTAAACTTATATCCAACATATTGCCTTACTATTATTACTATCATCGGTTATTAGTATAATTATTACCGCCACCCGACAACACCGCCATATTTTCTTCTTTTCTATAACTATGACATATTATTATTATTATTATTATTATTATCGTTATCATCATTATCATCAGTTTATTGTCTTTCAATAGGCAAACAGCAATATATGAAATATGAAAGAATAGGAGAAAGAGAAGGAGGAAGAGGGAAAAGGAAGAGGAAGAGGGAGAGGTAGAGGAAGAGGTAGAGGGAAGCAAGCAAATGCTTCATCAATGCTCTATCTTAAAGAGCCAAAGTTAGATGATATCTTTAAGACTAGCTGCTAAAAGCATCGCTACCACTACACCGATACCACCATTACACCGATATTACCACCACACCGATACCACCACTACACCGGTACCACTATTACACCGGTATTATCACTACCATCGCTATCACCACAATCATCATAATCATCGCATTATCGATCTTATTATCTCTTTATCCTCCCCTTATTATTTTATTTTGTCAAATTTTGCATATATCTAATCGTTAGATGCTAATTTTAGGTTAGCTATTAAATAGTATCATTATCTCATTGCTATCACTACTAATACTATTATTATAATCATCATATCACTGATTTTATCATTTATCAAACTATTTTGCACACTTTTAAGAAACAAAAAGTTAATAAAGTAATCGAACATACAATACACAAATATTAAAATAAATTACCACACACATACACACACGCACACAGACACGCACCCACACACACATACACGCACATACACACATGCATGGTAATAAGAGTAATTGAACATACAATACACAAATATTAAGATAAATCAAGAAACCCGATATGGGCAGAGCAGATCAGGTCTCAATTGCTTTTCGTGAAATACTAGCCGTTGTCGCGGGTTATTGTCACCATCTTCGCCCTTAGCAATTGCTCTTTGTCCGTTCTATTGTTCTTCATTATCTGCCCATCTCTGTTGTGTATGTGTGTATGTGTATGTGTGTACACACATATATTTAGTATATATATTACCATAGTTGACAATGACAGTATTGTCATCGTCACCCATACTACTACTACTACTACCATCGCTGTTCATTTCAATGCTTTCAATTATAAACTGAAATAATCATTAAATCATAAATTAAATTTAAATTTGTTTTATTCAGCTAATGAGCCTTTATTTTTGAAAAAAGATTAGATGATTTGCTTATTTAATTATTAACCATTTGCTTAATGTTTATCAAATACATGCAATGAGCCTAAATATAAAATAGATTTATTTTGGCCAAATTAGGCTCTTTTTTTTTTTGAAAAAATAGGTCATTTATTTATTTACATGCTTCTTAAATTAATTTATTTACATAATGTTTTATTCTTATATTCAAATTTTTGTACTGTTTACTTTAATGTTCTGTTAAACTATATTTATTTATGAAATATTTTATATGACAAATGATAACTTTAAACTTATTCTTTCTTTCATTCATTTAACTTTGTATTTTAATTTATTCATATAATGTGACATTGTGATAATCCTAAATTAGGATGAATAACTCTTTTCATTTATTAATTGTAAGAGTGACACCTAAAGCAGTGGTACCCTACTTTCTGTTGTTTATGTCGCCAGAAGTGATCACCTCGATATTTAGGGCTCTAAATTTTTTAGTCTTATTTAGGACTCTAAGAAATAAAAAAAGATTACTTTCAAAAATTTCCTACATTTTGCCCTACATCGATTACAATTATTTATCACTTTGAATTTTTTAATATTTTTTTTTTCGGTGAGTAATGTCATATTTTATAAGCTTAACTTAACTCTAATTAAGATTTAAATGGTGAAAAAAAAAATTTTTTCTCTCTCTCTCTCTCCATTATTTTGACAATATTTCTGTCAATACTTTCTCCTCGTAATTTCAATTTAAATATATTTGAGAGAAATCGTTATGTTTCATGCTATTGATCAATTTCAAATAAAAAAGAATGAACATTTAATGATTACCCGATGGATAATTTTCTGAATTCGAAGTAATAAAATTGAAATGCAACAAATTTACGAAATTTTAGTTTAATGAGAAATTTCGTATTTAATACACCATTGCTCCGTTAAACTTATTTATTTTATTTGTTTATTTATTTATTTACTTTTTTCTTTCTTTCTTTCTCTCTCTCTCTCTCTCATCCTCTCTCGCTCTGTGTTTATTATTTCGACAATGTTATTATCATTGTTTTCACTCCCGAAATTTCATTTATCATCAACAAAATGACTTTATTTGAGATATTTCTCTCTTTTTTTGATCAAAAAGACAAGAAGAAAAAAAAATTTCTTTTTTGAATAGTAAAAACATTGAAAATGAAATGCATAATTTAATAATAAAATTAGAATTAAATTTTGAATAGAAATAGGAAATTGAATAGTTTCATTTCTTTTAATTAGTGTAAACAATTTCAAATAAAATTGCTATTGATTTATTAAATATTATTAATTTATTCTGATTTCATTACATTTCATTTCTTCATTTATCTCAATCATCCTATTCTTTCTAGCATAAATTTGATTAAGCATAATTGTAACAACAGTTAGTAATAATTATTAGTGCACTGATTAAATTTTAGATTAACTGAAATGTAATCTTATTTTACTATGTATATTCTTATACAGCAATAATTATATGTTTTTGTAATTAATATAAAAATTTTACTGTCTTCAGTTACATTTAATATTATTTAATTTCATTTCTAAATAATTTAAAAGATGAAATATGTCACCTGGAAATATCTTAATGTCAACAGTACACATATTTGAGTAGCAAATTAAATTACTTCATTCAATAATGATATCTCTCTCTCTCTCTCCCTCTTTCTCTCTCTCTCTTCCTCTACCTTTCTCTTAGTTTCCGGAAAAATAAGCATGAAAATGGTCAAAAAAATTTTTCATATATCCTAAGCATTGAAATTCCCCCTCTCTTCTTTGTCCCTCTCTCTCTCACCCTCTCCTCTTTGTCCCTCTCTCTCCTCCTTTCTCTCCCTCTCAAATATAGGATAATGTATAGTAAATTATGATTCATTACAGTGATATATTTCAAAAATTAAAATCATTATAAATCACTGAAAATGAGTCAAGATGGTAATAAAATATTACACTAACTTACGTGAAGGAATGACGCTATGAATGACGTAAGTATCCGTGACCTTTTCTATCTATGCTATCTTTATTATCAAATTACAACTTCCATACATAATGAGAAAGTAATCCACAATACTTTTATATAATATAGAACAATTTCTCATTTTATAAATTTTATTGATTTATTGAAATTATTGATTGAAATTAAAATTGAAATGATTTTTTTTTTTTAAATTGATTCATTGAAATTATTTGAAAAAATTATTGGTATTTATTTATTATTATTATTATTGTTGTTATTATCTTATTATTATTATTATTCATTGTTACTATTATTATTGTTCTTTCAGTCACAACAACAACAATAAAATAATAATTAATATGGAATGTTTAAAAAAAAAAAAACAATAATATGAAGTATATCGATTGTTCGTTGCTTTCATTATGTTATAAAATTTTGTAAATTTACTTTCTGAAATTTCCTTTATTGATTTTTAGCATTGTTTAATCATTTTATTATTGTATTTAATTGGCATTTAATTGTAATTATTTCTAAAATAATTTCATATAATTTTAATGATACATTTTAATCAGATTATTCCTTTTATAAACAAACAGTTATTGGTTTGTTCCTTTTTTTTTTTTTTTTTTAATCAGTAAATATTGAAAGAATGCACTGATTATAAATTCTTGAATAAATACAAGTTTTTCTCTTTTTTTATATAACAATGAATGAAATTTACAATATTAATCTGAAATAATTCAATAAATCATATGTTTATATCTACTCGGATAAGAAACAAGAATTTATCTCAAATTTCATTTGATAGTTTTGCATCTTTTATATCTTTTTTTTTTTAAAAAAAAAAGAAAAACATATGGACATCATATGCATTTTCATATATTTAATATATTTCTATCAAACTGAGCTCCACTTTATTTCAATTATATTACTTTTCATTTCAAAGAATTGCAATTCCTACTCTCTTCATGGGCGCTCTTGGATGCAATCATTGTCATTGTCATTGTTATTGTCATCGTCATAATCATTGTTATCGTTGTCATTGTCATTGTTGTTATTGTCATCTTTGCTACTATTGTTACTGTAGTTTTATTTATTGGGTCATGTCGGATTTTGTAATTACATGAGCAATTAATTTCTAATTTTAAAGGAAAGATGAATGACTACTACTACTACTTTTATAGAATGTATTTATTGTGCTCATAATTCTTGCAGTTCAACATCACTTCATCGCTTTTCATCTTTCTCTCTTTTAATATTCTTTCTTATTTTTCAACAAAATTCATTTCATTCTACTATAATTATTTTCTTAACTACTTGTACTAATATATCTATCGATTATGCAATCTTTTTTTTTCCCAAACCTCAAATTAGTTA